CCATTGAAGTAAATGGCTTTTGAATAGCTGTCCACTGTAGTGACCACTATGCGCGAAAGGGTTAAAATTGAAAATGAGCATAAAACATGTGGATGGAAAACCAGACAGCTAAGCTAGCCTGAAACCTAAGATGAGAAGGTTAACAAAGGTTAACTAAGTTAGCTACAGGCTGTATTGTACACCACAAATACAACATAAACTAAAGTTTGATCATTGAACACAGATAGTCCTGTGAATTAGTAACTACATGCACCTTCATGCAGGCTTATAGGCACCCTGGACACGTAACACACTAATGACAGGCTGACAAAATATGTATTTTACCATATCACACATCATTAAACAAATGTAATCTACATGTGCCAGTTCAAACATGTTATTTTTGCTATTACTAAGACAGAAGTTTACATCACAAGTCAAACCCATTGTTTTTGATTGTATAATAAAGACACAAAAGTAAAGCCATGTCTCAGCATTCATGTCAGCATTCAACTTTTGTATTTTATTTAACTACTAAATACACTTCTGAGAATGTTTGAGGTTAAAAATCATCTGAGACTTTGAATACTGGCAGTTTAAAATTGAATTGAAAATGTGATCCAACATTGTCATCAGACAAATGAGCTCCAATTTTGTTGTTGTTATTATTGTAAATACACATTGCATTGTTAGTGTACAGCTGTGGTTACAGTATTTAATTTTTAATGGCTTTTATTCAACATTTTTATTGTTCTCTACCATTCTTATTTGTGCACCAATATACCAGATCAAATTCCTTGTATGTAAGGCAATGAACCCAATTCTGAGATTATGGTAGCCGATAATTTAACACCAATTGTTTTGGGTGATAAAGCCTAGCTGTTATTTTGGAGAACTGCTTGCAGCATCTGTGCTAAGGATATTGTGCAATACTAGCAATGTGTGTGTCCAACGTAACATTTTTCCCCTAGTGGCCATTCGGGCCAGTAGATCACAGTTTTACAAGCCCCTTGCATATTTTTACTGGCCCAAAAAAGAAAGCATGTTTCCATAACACTGTTACATTATTAATCGTAAATACAATATTGTGATTCATTCAAACAACAAAGATAGCGAGGGACTTGTCGCAGACAGTTACTGGCATTTACAGTATAGCGCTGAATGTACGTTACGACCACCACCCTGTCATGCACACTGTGCTTAATAATGTCTGACACTTGTCTTTGTAAAGACAGAAAATGACAGAATAAAGTCGCTAACCCCGCCGGTCAGCTTGCTGTGGTCGTTTTCAGTGCACTTACCATAAAGACTTGAATACATGTGCACTCCAAATTTAGGTGTGGCTAGCTGACCATGTTCTCTCAAACAATGGCACACTTTACCGCAGTTCTGTTTCAGTGTATGTCGTTAACTGAAAACAGTCAGAGCATCCACACAAAAAAGAAGGAAGACATGGCTGATAATGTTTTTCAAATGCAGTTGCGAAATGCCTCATATTCACTGAGATTGCCTCACTGAAGGAAACCATCTCTGTTGTGACTGTGCGGAGAAAGGCTTGATGCATGTAGAGTTGACTTCTGCCGTCTTGACTGCAGGCAAGAAGTTGACCGCTTGAGACACAGCCCAGCTCATTTGCATAATGAGGCAGAAATGCATAAAGAAATGTAAAACGGGGAGACCGAAATAAATACCTTTGAGGAAATAAATAGAGTAGAAAATGCAAAGGAAGAATAAAACAGACAAAAATATGAAGGGACTATATGTAAGTTTTTCAATGAAATTAATCAAATTTTAGGTAATCGCTTAAAAGGTATATCGCTTTCCACATTACTTCACCAACTAATGTGAGCCATGTTACTAGTCTGTGTACCACTGTTGATTTAGCCTGTAAGAAAGGATGTAACGGTAAAAAGCAAATGTGGAGCGTTACATTAGCCTATAGTGATGCAGCCAAGAGCAGCCAGCTAACGCTACAGTAACGTTAGCTCCGACCTCCCGCCGTTTGCTTTGTAATGTTCAGTTAATGTTTATTGTGGTTTTACCAATACTCTGTAACTAACGTGACCCACATAACATAAAACACTGCAACAAAACGGTCACAACAAGACAGAGGAAGAGCCATCCACTAACACTAGTTACAGTAAAGTTACTTACTGCGGTCTAACTGTTATAAAGTGTGACACAATCCCATTATAATATCCGTTCCAGCTCACTAACCGTTTCATTATCATCCAATACATGTAGCTGTGCTGACATTGCTGAGCCTCTGGTGACAGATTCACAGATAGTAAAGATGATTACTGAAAAGCAGCAGGTGAGCTAACAATGTAGCACGTCGGCTAAATGCAGTAAATGTGTTACCGGGATCATGTAACTAGCATGGATTAGTTCAACCTGCAGTTGATAAAACTATTACTGTAACGTTGCAGTGGGAGTTTACCTGAGTTTCCAGCTCTGTCTGTTCTCCCTGTTTCTCTATAGCCGCTGTCACTGGCTTTTTCCGGGAGTATTACCCAATATGCGGCTCACTGCGATGAATGAAAGGTTGTTGAGCTGCCTCTGAGACGGGAACGTTGAAGTATCAGAGCCTGAACATGTCTGGAGAAAAGCCACAGCCTGCATGCTGGTGTTTCTGCGTTTATTGTGGTATTTCTGTATGAAAGTGGTTGTGTTTCGGATTATGCTCCCTCGTGAGTTCAAGCGAGCACATGGACGAGCACACACTTGGTTGCAATCTTAGAACCGCACAGCTAGTGGCCGCTGAAAGCTACATAATGCCCCTTTAAAACAAACACATAAATAAATACATTTAAAAAAATAAGTAATTAATAAAATAAAATAGAAAATTAAAATGGAAAATAAATGAATAAGGTCATTAATACAAAGATGGATAAATAAAGAAACAACTTAAATGACTTTTTGGTGCATTTAATTTGATACATTTTTTAATGTATTTATTATATGTATTTACTTTTGGCAGACAGTTCTCCATACTCTTTTTCAGGTTGTTGGTAATGAAACACAAAAACAATTTTTACCCTTACAATAAACATTTTACATTTCTGAGTACTATGATGAATAGAATTGAAATGAAGTGTAAAGCTGAAAATCAAAACAATATTGTTGCATGTCTACATTGATATAATAAATTTATGAGAATTAATACCCAATTATGAATTTTAATATTCAGAAAATATTAATCCATAAATCTCTCGTTTTGTGGGGCACCACCGGACCTCTGGGTAGCATTTTAATAATTATACAATTATTCACTAGCGAACAGTTAGTTAATAATCGCTCAATTATCTTAAATCAATCAGTCAGTCTCATATCGGAGGGTAAATTCTCTTGGCAGGGACTTAGAAATAGGCAATACACACAATTCCTTGATTACAGTGAATTTATTAACTAATGTGATATAAAAATGTGGTTAAATACATCAGAGAAATAAACAATGGCTAAACAATGAGCATGGAGGTCTATTGTGGGAGAATTTGACTCATACGGCAGCTAATGAACGCAATTAGATGATAACTCGGTTAAATTTGTCTAGGCGTTTCAAGGATTACATATGCTGGACTAACCAACTATTGGACATCACTGATCACAGAATGCCTTGTTTTTGCTTTACGGTGGATCGGCGGCCTAACTTGGCCTGTTGCACGGGTCCCACGCTAGCTGCCCGATTCCTGGCTTTTTGCTAGGGAATTCTCCGGGGTTCTCCGTGTCTGGAATGAAGAAAACCCTTGAGGGTTGGCCAGCCTCGGTCTGGCAATTAGGCTGTTCTTCGGGTGTCCTTTGTTACGGCTGGCGGGCCACGTGGCGGCGACCTCCGTGGGCTTAGCTCGACGCCTAAAGCTTAAAAAGAACTTGGTCGTTCTTGAATTAACTAGTGTAACTTAACAGACTGATAACTTTTAACAAACAAAAAGAAAGAAAATAAAAACAAGTAAAGTTGCTGTTAAACGAGAGAAAAATCGATGTCGCGGCACTTTGTGTGTGTAGCTTCAAACAAAACAAAAGCTTTTGTTGCGCCGGGCCGAACTCTTAGGGCGTTGCCTGGAGAGGGGGCACGCTGGGCCGAAGCGCCGTTGAAGAGTCAGGAACAAGCCGCGGACAAGAGACAAGAGGGCGAACATGCGCGTGTGTTGCTGTTTTGTCTGTTGGGGCGTGGTTCGTTTCCCGGAGGCCGGGCTGTTTCCGGTTTCCCGAGGGACTGTCTTTCTAAACTTTTAATATGTCTATAAAAAGGAAAAGAAAATCTATTTGCGCGTATTATAATCAAATATCTTCCCACAATCAAACCTCAGTTGTCAGTAGTTAGACCTTACAAGGTTAACACTTCATAGGAATCACAGATGAGAGGAACTTAACTTGCTTTCTAAATATAGGCTACATGTTCTTAGAGAATATAAGCAAGATACACGAGTGGCATTAGAATATTGACAAGATAAATACGGAGTGACATTTATACATTAACGGCATTTCAGACGATGGCATGTAATACTTATTTTGTCCCCCTGGCGTGAGCTCATGTTTCATGAGGATAGCTCTGATTAATCCTAAAACAATCTTTGCTCAGTTACTGGGAAATTCAGTTATTTAACCTTAAATTCAAGCTGGCAAATTAATTGAGTATAGGATGACATTTCTTTATCATCATTTCTAAAGGAGGTGTCTGAAAGTATTGTGAACAAGCATTGGTTACACATAAAATGAAGGAATGTCATTAACCTTGCTGAAAATTAAAACTCTGCAAAATTAACTTATTTAGATTCTTTTCAGCAACAATATCAACAACAGATAGCAACAACATGGTAACATAACTACTCAAAATAAGAGGCAGCGCCACTACTAACTTAGCCAGGATTATTATTTAAAGAGAACAACAGTTTTTAATGAAACATTGTTTAAGCTCAAGAAGGCAGGAGTTGTGTCCCCCTTTCGCAATCCTGGCTTATCACACTTGCACTTCAGTCTTTGTTTGCATGAAGGAGTTCAGGTCTGTGTCTCTGTGTGTCCTGGAGCTTCTCACCTAGGCGTGAAAGGAGTATCCCCTTTGATGAGATATGATTAAACAAAGAGGAAGGACAGTTGCCATGGTTACGTGTGTGGGGGGCAGTTTAGGGTTTCCTGCCCTTTCTTTAAGAAGAGTTTTGATAGGCTATTCAGGGAAACGCTAATCGCTGGTTAATGTTCCTTTTGTCAGTTTAACAGTCAAGTACCGCGTTATCTGGCTGCGGCATCAAAAGGTGGTCAGTTTTACGATCAGGCTGCTCAGAGACAGCTATTAGGGAGGGAAAATTTCAACCCCCCTCCTTTGGGGTCTCTTCAGCCGTCTGTTGAAAGTTGATATCTCAACCCCCTCCTTTCTTTCTCCCAGGGAGAGAAGAGGAATTTGGAGTAGTCCAAATTTATTTAATATAAAATGCACAAATCCAAACTGTTGGTACACAACAATATTCATTATTATAAAGTAGCTGAAAAAAAATATTTTATATGATTTGTTAGTAGACAGAATTTGTTAGTTAGACAGAATAGTTACTCATGACAGTTACTTTAAAGGTGAAATTGGCAATAGAGATTAATTAACTTTAATAAGTTGTCATTATTAAAAGTACATTACAGTAGCATTCATCAGTATTGACACTGATTACACAGAAATATTTGTTTACTGATTTAATTAAGACCACAAAGGAGACAAGAATTAGATCGGAAAAATTGTAGACGCTGCTAGGGCAGAGTGTTTCTGGGGGCCTGTCTAGGTGGATGAGGCGTCCCTGTAATTTGTGGGCGTGCTGTGCCTGGAGCAGAAAATGAGCACATGGCTGTCTAATGAGCACATGACTGTCTAAGGACATCCTTGTCAATGTGATGTCAGCTCGGCATTAAAGTAGAGACATCTGAAGCCTAAACTTGTTGCACATAGGGGTTACTTTTTCATTCATTTACATCATTATTTGAAACTTTTGGTCATGTTTAACCCTCTGTAAATGGACCTCCCACGGACGGCCTCGAACTGGTCATGATGATGTTTAAATCGATCTAAAATGTAACTATAACAGCTAGAGCATTCATTCTTTTTGCAGTGGAAAGCTGATGTTTTTGTCTTTTCGCACCATCACATTGTCTGCGATGACGTCATCACATTAACCCTTTGAACTCTGCAATACAAATGCCCCGGCAGTGATACTCTGGTATTTTTGCCTATTGTGATGTCATTTCTTGGAGTATCTTCAAATGCTGCATATCCATAAAATCTGTAAAACATCAGCTAAAAGGTTATGCAAGTCAATAAACCATAATAATTGATAAAAGTATTTGTTGATGTGTGATGCATTTTTTTTTTTTTTAAGAAATCGGGAATGTTTTCTCATAAAATTCTACAAAATAAACACAAAACATTGATCCAAAATATTTCTAAATGTAGAAAGATGAACAAAATAGTTCTTAACACTCCACAAGTCATTTTACACAAGTCACTGTGTATCTTTTTTAATTTACAAAGGTGTTTATTTTGTAATAATGCTGTATGTTCACTTGATGTAGTCATCATGGCAGTTCCTGTCAACTATTACTACTAGCAAAGTATGTTAGACCTAAGCCTTCTATGTTAACTATGAACTAAACTATATACCAAACTATGCTAACTATGGTAAACTGCTGAATCTAAATGTTTCTCTCAATCTTTCTGTGACATTTCTCCTGTGACCTGCTTAGCTGCTCATCTGGCCATCATGCGTCGTTACGGGATTTTTCACCACACGTAACGAAACTTAATGACGTCACCATAAGCGTACAACGGGATGACTTGAATGACAGAAGCCTTAGCTTTCTGCTCTAGCTATTACGGTTTTTATTTTAGATTGATTTAAAAAGTATAATCTAAACAAAGGGCTACCGTGGCCAGTTCGGGGAAAACCCCTAGCACCACCAAGCGTTTTCACATCGTCTTCCACCACAAGCAACCTAATATGAAGATCCGGAAATGTAAAATTATATATATGACAGAAAATAAAGCAAAGTTTCTGATTTCCTTTAATGTAACCTTAAGGTTATGTTAATTCCATATCTTGCCATTCCAGCTCACTCTCGTCACCAAGTGAAGGGATGGATTTGATGCTGCTTTTGAGCTCATCCAAGACTTCCTGCAAGTTGTCTGCTGCCTGCCTGATTGATCGGACAAATTTCATGATCTCAGATCTGATTGGAGCGGTATTTGGAGACTGGTCCTGTGCCTCTGATCTGTCAGACTTGAGTTCATCATCTTTTACCTGTAGTTTAGCTTTGTCAAAAGGGTGCACGCAGTCACTGGTTTCAGTCTCAGACACTGACATAGAACCAGTTTTGCCTTCTTCCTCTGCAGCCTTTGCCTGTCTAATGTGGTGTATCTCTTTTGCATCCATGGCAATGAAGAAGATATCCACTGCCACAAATAAACCAGCAAGCACACCTGATGCTACCTCTGCCACACGTACAACCCTGGATGCTTGTGCTGCAATCTTGCCAACGTTCATCACCTGAACAAATCGAACTAATTCAGCAATGCCACCTAGGCCTTTCCCTGCTCTGCATCCGAGCTTTACCAGGTTGCTGCTATCTTCAGTGTCAGGTGTGTCAGCTGAATCACATCTGCTCCTGATAGTCTGTAAACTGTTGCTAATCTCCTGGAGCCAGGTGACGACTGCATAAAATTTCTGTTCAATCTCTTTAATGATGCATCGAACAGCTTTGCGATCAGAAGACTGATTGACCATATTAGTGATATTTGAGGCGCCAGCAGTGACCCCACCAAGCGCACCCACCCCCACTCCGACCCCAGTGACAACAAGAGAGGCACCCAAAGTGAAGGGGGCCAGTATTAGGCCCACTATGGATGTAATCCCTCCCACTGCTCCAATCACTCCTCCTGTCAGACTGCCAATGGTGGTGCCGTGATGTACACGTTCCAAACCGTCAGCCACGGCCCTTAGCCTGTCCAACCTGGTCTGGAGGTCCTTCACAGTTGTTTTGCACTGTCACGAAAGCATAAACATTGTCAGTGAAATACTATGTGCTGTTCGGTCTGGTGTTTAGTTACTCTTTAAAGTTCCAATTCATCAAGAGAGTCACCACTTGTAATTTAAGAGGCTATACCTATTCGGTAGTATGTATTATTATTTGGGAAAGAAGGCGTTTGCTCTGGCAGATGTGTGTGTGTGTGTGTGTGTGTGTGTGTGTGTGTGTGTGTGTGTTTGTGTGGGGGGCGGCTGCGACTGTTGATAACGCACTTTGGAAATTGAGATTTACGGAGAGGTTCCTGATTAATAAGCATTTGTAAATTAGTCTGGTGATGCCAGGCAGGGCTTTCTCTGTAATATGACTAGAAATAGGGCTGCAGAAATCTGGTCAAAATTAGAATCACAATCTTTTCAATTCAGAGTTGAGATAACGATTTTCTTGTTTAATACATAGGGACACCATATCCAAGAAAGATTAAAATCAAGGGTAACTGGACTTGGTTGATACTTGGAAGATGTTTTGTCCCTCATCCAAGAGACTTCTTCACTTCTGACTGACTTGTAGGGAAAGTCAACTATTTAACCTCTGAGGAGTCGTTTGCCAAAATGATTGATGCCGCAGGTTCGTTAGTGTGCCTGACTGCTGTAACGACAGTCGTTGTGGTTGTTGGAGCTGCCTGAGGCCAAGTCTGAACCATCAGCAGCCAAGTCTGAACCATCAGTTTGAACCATTAGGCCAAGTCCCATCGTTGACAACTTCACCTGTGGCCAAAACTTTAGTTAGTTTGTTTAGTTTCCTGGGAAGCGATGAAAGGACAATATTGTGAGAGGGGGATAAGTGGTGTCGCAGACCCCCTCCCCTGTTAAGTAACGGCTTCTCAACCCGGGTGTAAATGGCTTCCTTGATACCTCTTTCAAACCATCCATGCTCTCTGTCTGCACATGGTGGTCCTCAAAAGAGTGTCACTTATCCTTCAGATTTGAGTAAACTGCTAAGACTTGACCTGTGGAGTTGGCTCTTCTGTGCTGAGTTTGTAGTAGTGGTTGTTTACCCAATATACAGGTCTGTGCATTCCTCACTGCATTGGACCACATATTTACTCTTGTATGTATGCCTCTTGCGCGTGGGCACTTGCTCTGTTTATTTCTCTCTTCGTCCGACAACATCATCGCGATATGAACATGCACAAAAACCATAAAAAAACCATAGTTTTTATTACCAGGCTGCAGCCTTTCCCCTGCTCACACACACACACACACACATACACACACACACGCCACAGAGCAGAGCAATGAGGCTGTGGTGGAAGCAGCAAAGTGACACAGGTGAAATGAAGAGAACTCCAAAATTTTTCGAGTTGACAACAGCTGTGCTCATTTCTTTTGGTACGTGCAATAAAACCTTAGTGAGTAAAAAGCCCATACTTTATCGATACACCTGTTCAACAACGCATAAATATATAAAGCGATATTTTAATTTGAATCATTTTCTGGTAATTATACACATTAGCAGTGTTACACTTGCTTGCCAAGTTACGTATGTGCTTTTGCCTGTTATCTTCATCTTTGAATCTGATCTAAGAAGAAATTAGTGGTCATGCAGCACTATATTCATAGTTTTCATTCATGTGACATGCGCAGTGACCTGGAGGGCAAAACAACAGACTAGCATAGCGGCTCATACCACGACTCCCCCGTAGAGACGCCGCAAAAGCAGTAAAATTTTATTTTGATCACCTTTCAACTTAAGAAAAAGAAAGATATGAACACAAACTGCAAGTGTTGGGCATATCCAATCCATATAAAGTTACAGCATCCGCTGCCGCATTTCTACCGTTAAAAACCGCCAGGTCCCTACTGCCGCTCAACTGCGGTATGTTTACGTTTACCTTGTGGGGAATCCCCCATTTCCATCTTCCCTCTCTATTTCATCCCTTGACGGGCTTGGAATGCAAAGAGACTTACATAGGCTAATGTCTTTATTTACCATAAATCTCAATTAATAGCCCAGGCTTGTATTGGCTTCAGTCACTGAACTTAACCTGACAATAGATGGGACCTTTGCCTCTATGGGACAGGCCTTGAATTCTTTTCACACAAAAATATTGCTCAGTAAAAATGGGAATTACTGCAGGGAGAAGAGAAATTTTGTGTGGTCTTTGATAAACGAAGTAAGCAGACAGTGAGCAATCGACTTCACATGAAAATGTTCACAACGTTTTGATTATTTTGATGTGTGGGACCCTTAAAGACTAAAGGAATATTAAAAAAAATGGATAGACAAACATTCAAACTTTATGACCACTACAAAGGTTGGCAGTCGCCACTTTTCCCTCTCTTTTGTTTACCGTGGCAGTAAAATCTGAATGAATTATACTTTTGTGCTCATAGCTTCCATAAAATGAACTGAACGAGGTAATTGGGATAATCTAACCGATCTAATGATGTGTAGCATGTGCATAATGACAAAAGTTTTAACATTTATATTTGTATGCGCACTCTAAGCAGCTTCGAACTAGCAAGTGACTCGTGGGCTTTAAGAGGTTTTCAAACAAATGTCTGGTAGTTGTTCAATATAGCTGGAATTCCGGAATATATTAGTGTAAACTCTGCTTGGTGTTCTAGGGGAGCAAGGTCAATACTGAATTTATAGAAGTGTCATACCTTTTCTGAGAGACTGTTTATCATAATAGGACGCTCCAGGATCTCACTGGCAGTTGGTCTTGATTGAGGATCTTTATTTATTATATCATTCAACAGATCACGAAGCTCTGGTGAGAACTTGTCTGGGAGAGATGGGTAGCCACCAAGTATCTTTGGTATGAGCTTGATCGGATTCTCGGGTGAGAACTGAAAGAGAATTATAGTTAGAAAACACTTACTACTATCTATATATCTATATCTATATCTATATCTATATCTATATATATCTATATATATATACGCACACACACACACACACACACACACACACACACACACACACACACACACACACACAGTGAATTCGAGCTGATAAAAAAAAGGCAACACTAACTCGAACAACCACTTGTTACAACCAAGGTATGCAAAAGAACATTTGTGAACACACAACACAACTTTGTAAACTTTGTAGTAGGGCTGAACGATTAATCTTTTTCAAATCAAAATTGCGATTTGAAAGAACGCGATTAGCTCAAGCGGGAAGCTTCCGGTCAGCGATCTGATGGGAACGCGGAAGACCCTTAAACCTGCATTCTATTGAACAGCAAGCAAGGGGCAACTCTTGCAATTGAAGTCCAGCTCCATTAGAAATAATGGTAAAATGACCCTACTTCTCACCTGAATAATTACCTCAGTAAACACTTTCCTGATGACTTTATGGTCTCAGTCCCTAGTTTCATGTCTTCAATACAAAATGATGTTCATTTAGTACATTATGGTCCCATTTATTTTAAAATAGACCATAAAGCAGAGTATGCTTCAGGGCACGATTATCTATGATTGACAAGTCATTACCATGGTGGCCTGTCAATCAGGCCAGAGGCAACTCGTACGTACTGCACTGTGTAAATTTAACCAGCGCCACTGAAAAAGCTTATTAGAAGATGGCTGTTCACTTTCTCTTAGGAGTACATTTACGTTCGTATATCAACAATAAACACAGTTAAAACAGTCAGGCAAACAGACATAGGCAGCGACTGTCCCACGGTTTTGTTAGTTTTAAGACTGTTGTTTGCTGGACAAAGTTATCAGCCCTGTTATAATGACAGTTACTGTGAATTACAGATGCACCTAGCTAAGCAAGCTAGCTAGCTCGGCACACGGCCGTTAACTCAACCATCTCGTCCAAATATGGTCACATCCGGTGCCACAGGTTGCAAAAACTCAACATGGCGGTGCCCTATCGGCCAGACTCGAGGCTTCAAAACGTCAGTCCACAGACTAACGGGTGACATCACAGTGACTACGTCCACTTCTTATTAGCTAATTGTGAAGACACGATTAAAATGTAGGTTAATTATACAGCGCATATGACCCATTTTAAACAGTCATGTAGTTACAAATTCATTCTGTTGTCATCCTTGTGTGACAGATCTGCTCGCCAATCACAAACGCTATACGCCTCCTGTTACGGTCCTACTCACCAATCAGAGTGGGCACAGGGCGTGTACATTTTTTCAACAACAAATGAAAGTAGAGGATAAGGTGGGATAATGGCGTCAGGCAAACAGACATAGGCAGCGACTGTCCCACGGTTTTGTCTGGCGTCAACTCACACTGATGTTTTTCAGCTGCCCTACGTTTTTAACGTGTTGTTAATTTGTCATTTTGTGTGCTTCAACTACGGATAAGAGCTCTCTGTGAGCCTGTTCTGCTCTCTGCAGGCTAACTTTACATATCCACATGGAGCATTTCAGAATAAGAGTGTTTTGCCTGTCTGATTTTGCTGACTTGTTCAGATTTTGCGTATTTGTTCAGTTGTCATTGATTTTTGTGCTTCTATTATGGTTAAGTAGGCTACGTAGTTAAATTGTTTCTTTTTTTGTCTGTTTTAACTGTGTTTATTGTTGATATACGAACGTGAGTCTCCAAAGGGTATTTTACTTTTAAAATCCAGATTCTATATGCCGTTCAGTGTCTGTCTTCCTGTGTGGTACATCTACTCTGTGCTGCTTGACGCGGCTTCCATCAGAAATAGACTGGCAGTGAATATTGAAGTCCAGCAAACTTCAATTAAAAAAGAAAATCGCAAATTGAATCGCAATATCTGCATTCACAATTAGATTTTTTCCCCAAATCATTCAGCCCTACTTTGTAGTAGATGGACTACAACAGCAGAAGACCACACTCCTGTCTGGTAAGAACAGGACATTTTCGCCCTGGAGAACTGGATATTTTGTCTTATTCGGACCATTCACTGTAAACATATGTCTATGAGTGAAAATCTCAGTAGATCAGAGGTTTCTGAAACCAGCCATCTTCAAAACCTTGCCACACCTTTCTTCCCCATTCTGATGCTTGGTTTGAACTTCAACAGATTGTTTTAAACAACATGCCTATGTCTACATGCCCACATGTATTGAGATGCTGCCATGTGATTGGCTGAATAGATATGTATCCTTTTTACAAGAGAATACATAGCACAGTCTTTTTAATTTCATTCATGTTTTGATTACGTAAATCTTGACATGTAAACCTTTGGGGAACTTACCGCTGGTTGTAGAGTACAGAGCTCATAGAGTATGCATCCCACTGACCAAATGTCACTATGAATAAAACATATAAAATTTTGTTAGTAGTAGTAGAAGTGATAGAAAATAGATTACATAAATGTGGTAAATTTGAAATTATACTTCAAATCATGAACAAAAATTATATTTGTATAAAGTGGGAATTTCAGCCAGAACAGAGCAAAGCAAATTGGCTGGTGAACAAGATGTGATTCTGTACTCACATTTCAACATGTTTGACAAGTTTCACTAATAGCACAAAATGCCACATTTACGAGTGACAGTTGTGAAACAGCTGCGGCTTGTCTGAATCGAATGGTATAACCTTTTCAAATGTTATCGACCAAGTGGATCACATTCTGATAGTGAAGCGAGTCATTTCACTCGGGTTGTGATGGTCAAATATATTGATCCACCGTGTTACAGCCGCTGTTTTGGCCGCTAGTAAAAGTTACTTCAAAGCACGGGGCACTTCCTGACGGCTCGGAGGCATTGCGAGGCTACCCAGACGACCAGTCACAGTGCTTATGGTCCGTGTCGCCTCGATGCGTAGTTACATTTTTGAGGAGGTGCACATCAGGCTACGCCGTAGGTGACGCCGTAGGGTAGGGGGCTAAGTATAAATTACAGTTAAGGATTAAAGGTACTGTTGGTGCCCTTCTAACATGTTGCTTTCGCTACACAGTTGTTGGATAGTGTGTAATCACAAATCACTTTTGTGAAACCGGCCCGTTTAGCATCACTAAATGAATGCTAAATGCATCCCTCTCCTCTCTGCCTGCCTTTGTCAGCCTTTACTACTTATGGGATTGTTGAATTTATTTGGTTTATGTAACGTACAAGCTGGTGTATTGAGACACCGTCAGTGTTTGGACCAAACAAACTTCCCATTTGGTTTCTTGCTTAGTTGAAATGTGACAAGGAAGTTGTTAAAAGCTCATCTGGCTTAAACATTCACTTTATCGCTGCTTCTCTGGTTTCTTTACACTGTGTGACTATTGTACATCTTTTTTAATAACGAGTGTTTGTTGTTGTGTACGGCCTCAAGGCTGTTACTATGTCAGTTTTACCTTTTAGCATCATATTTCCCCACTGCGAAGACTTCCGGTGCCAGATAATTTATTGTTTCTGACATATTTGAATTAGTGATTGAACTGTAAAGAAAAATACATTATTACAGTACAACAGTACAACATTTAATGTGTATAGTATAGTATATGACATTGTATAGTACTTTTCATCGATTTTTCCAAATCCGCCCAGGCACACTATTCCAAATTCGGTGATTAATATGTGCTGTCAAAAAAGAGGTTAAAAAAAGGTTCATTTGAATGGTTAACTATGGCATCATTAATACATTTGTTTTATCTTCTGATGATTTAAAATATCTAATAGATAATTTCTGTATTACCTCTGGTGTCAGATGCTTGTGAAGCAATTTTTTTTCATGGATGGTTCTCAAAGCCATACAGATCTCAACAATCCAACTCAGTACCTAGAAATAGCAGAAATCTCGATGAATTGCAAAATATGTATACTAATATATATCACTGATGTAAATTTAAAAAGTCTTTAAAAGCTTTAGACTACTGTACCTCACACTCTTGTGGAGGCTCACTCATCTCTTTGATCTTTGCAGCAAGGCTGCCTCCATAACAGTAGTCCATCACTACATAGTAAGTGTTCTGATCTTGAGGACAAAAGCAGAAACGAGAATCTGTTAGAATTTTGTAACGAATCATCTTGAGTATATAATTGCGTGAGATACTTCTCCTAAATGAATATAAATAAATATTAAAGGTTTGTCTCTAAGTTCACTGTTCAGTTGGGGTTTCTGATTTTTTCTTAAAATGCATCTATTTTTTGAAAAAGCTGCAGATAAGTCTTGTCAGTATGACAACTGGATTTTGTGTTGACAGACTCCACACCTTTTAGTCAGGTTTGTAGATTTCAGTATTGTGCCTTTTCTCTGTGTTTGAGCATAGAGAGCAGAATTGAGACCAGAACGCTGGGGTTCTGTACCAGAAGCAAGAAAACCTCAAAATCAATTATTGTGACTTTTGTAATACAATTAATACAAATCCTGGAACAACTGCAAACAATTTGACATTCAATTGTTTTTTGTAACCTTTTTATAAAGCAGGCATTTCAGCTAAAAAGTTTGAATGTAACGGAAGAAACCAAAATACAATCATGCAAGCACATGTGGGGACATTTATGATTGATTAACTGTATTAAGATCAAAGATTTGTAACTTGTAATAACAAGTGCTGTAGTAGATAGTCATTTGTCTTAGATAGAACACGGATAGTAAATCATAGAAGGTAGCCAGCAGCTGTCCCAGATGTGGCATCAGGACTTCAGCTGTCTATTCTATCATACATTTGTTTTAAAATTGCGTTGAGTCTCATTACTCGTATCACAACTTCATTAAGTGCCTTCTACCTTTGTGTACAAACAGACATTACCTGTAATATCAAGTCCAGAGGGGCATAACTCTAGAAGTAGATTACTAAAAACTTACCTTTAAAAGAGTTCTTGCTGCTCACAATATGAGGATGGTTTATTGTCTTGAGGATTTCTATCTCTGAGGTTAATGCTGAATCATCATTTCCGGATGTCTGTTAAAAACATAATTTGCATCAGAATGGCCTGGCAGAGGTGCCTGACAGCAGACAGGTTAAAGTCGTATCCCTGAGATAGTAGTCAACAAACTAGATCCTTTGGTGAAACTTCACTGGCACTTCTACCTACTGCCTCAAATTGTGCTTCAGTCACTCTCTCACTCTCTCCACCAACTGCATGACAACAGTTGTGGGCCCTACTTTCATGAAACTGGACGCAAATGAATACACAAATGCACATACGTATGATCAATATATCTTTGCAGTTTTGGTGACCATTAGTGGTAGTGCAAACTATGTGCCGCATGGACAATGTGGAAGAGAGGCTGAATACATTATTAGTAGGAGAGATGCTGTATAAACTTATATTCTTTCAATAGTAGCTTACCATTTTGGTGTGTGGAAAATGAAAACATTGTTTAGAGTAGTAACTGTAGTATCGTGAAACTCCATCAGAGATGCGGGGACGTTTCTTGTGTATTTTTTTGGGAGGATTGTTACAGGGAGTTCTCCATTTTGCTGCTTGCAGTCAATCACTCATCTGCCCCGTTGGGTGCAAACCATACTAACCTCCTCTAGAACAAACATTTCCATTTCAGGGTTTTTTACCTAAAGGGCTCACTGTAAGCAGATTATTTTCACAATATCTTGCCAGTGGAAGTAGTGCTGCATGAATTGGCTATAGTCTGTGCATGTGGACAGCCCGACTTCACAGTGCTTTACAAAGCACAAACTTTTTCTCTTATACAGTGTGGCCTCTCTCCTCCTGGTACTTTACGAGTACAGTACACTTAATTTGTCTGATGCCATCAAAGGGGATCAGAGGAACGAGTGACTATTGTTACTATCACCCTGACTCCATCTGTTAATTCAGTATTCCCTCTACAAATAGTATAGTCAGCCTTCCACATTGCTACAGGCTTGCGTTACTGCTGATGGTCGACAAAATTGAAAAAAAATGAGTGGGCCATGTGTTTCATAATCAATAACCTGCCCTTTCTTAAAACTTTCTATCACAGACCTGTGGATCATATTTTGGAATCTTGACATATATTTCTTAATTTGGTATAGGTTAGCGTAGGAACTCCTCACTTACCTGATCTAAAATGATCTTTGTTATGAGAAATGTGTCATCTCCCTTTGTGGCAATAACTGCATTTCCGGTTTCCTTTTCTAATGTGTAGCCATTCTGTTTCAGGATGCTCTGTTCTGCCCCCATCTTCCGTGTTTATTCCTAATGAAACACAAAATAAAGCCAATACAAAACTATTAGAGTATTATTCCTTATATTATTGTCATGACAAGAGTTATTTTGGTGAATATTCATTTGTGTTTTTCCATTTCTGTGTTAAAATGCAAATCTGTTACATTCAGCCACCTGGCTGAACGCTGGAAACAGAGGTTTTGGACCCAAATGCAGACGCAGAGATGGTTGTGTTCAGTCCTTGGTGTCATCTTCGTATGTTGAGTGTTCTGCCCATAGACAGTACATTACTGGATGAAGCTACCCCGCTGATTTGAATGGAGAGCAGTGAAGCCAGTTTTGGAGCAATAAAATACTACTACAGGGCTACCTATTGGCACCAGCATCTACTGCGCATGATCGCGCAGCATAACCGTGGTATGACGTAGAACAACGGCAGAAACACTGTAATTCTGGTAGCTGCGCCAACAAAAAGTCTCATGGCTCAGTGTGTTTGTCTGACTCGGATCGTCACTGATTAATCAGCCCACCTATGAGGCTCACCTGTCAAACACCAATGCAGCATCACTGATCACCGAATAGTTTTTTTAGATTGCAGAGAGCTTACAATCTAAGCAATAGGGTTACATTTCATGTGCAACGGGATGTCACAGGGTTTTGACGTCATTTTTGGGCCTACATGGATCCCTGGCTTTGGTCGGCTTCTCTGTCCGATCCCTGGTTCTGCCTTGTGCTCTGTTACCCTGAATTTGTGGATTGTTCTGTTGGATTACCTTCCCTTTGTTGGATTTAGTTTGTTTGGACTCTTGCCTTGTGATCATACGTAAGCCTGTTTTGTTTATCTTAAACCTTTTTTAACTGCATCCACCTTGCCACTGTCTGCATTTTGGGTCCACACCTCTCCCTCTCGCCACTTCACTCAGCCTGCCTGATACACTAGAGACACATACGCAACACTAAATCAACACTAACAAAATCCACAATGGAAACACTGGTGACACGCACAAAATCAACAATGAACTGGCCACGAGAGAAAGACAGATACCACTGAAACACACAGGTGAGGGAGAAATTAATTACACACAGGTGAGATCACGAAGACAATCAGGACAAGCACAGGAAGTAAAACATGACAAAAGACACTATGGCAGACTAACTACAAACTAAACTAGAACTGCAAGCAGTTATAAGCGGGGTCCAAGCCTCCCGGCGCAAGCCCCCCCCCTGGTCCCGCGGAGGGTGCGCGAGTCGGCCCGGGTGCCCTGCCGTCATGCCGCATAAGGTCCCCACGTTTGGTGTTGATGGGGCATTCCAAACAGTGGCAAAACGTCCTGCCTTTGAAAATGCCATAGGAATGAATGGGATTTAGTGAGAGATTTCAGCTTCACTTTAAGCGCCACCTTTTGGCCGAAGTGTTCCAAATTTCAGGTGTCATCAGGGCCCCGTGGGGAACAATTGCGAATCAATTGGAGTTGTGGTTGTGGAGATCTAAAATGCATGTAAGTCAATGGGATTTTTTTGAATAGCACCAACTAGGGGCTAACTGTAGCAAATTTTGCACAGCCCCTCAGGGGGGCATGCCACATAAGGTCTTCAGGTTTTGTGTTGATTGGCCTTTCCAAGCCTGAGATATGTTAGACGTCCTGTTTTTAGCATTTTCGAAAATTTTTGTTAGTTTGCAACGGGGAAATGTCTTGTCGGATCAAAATTGCCTCTACAAACTTTCTTCGGCTTGGTCCAGAGATTGTCCGTGCCAAGTTTTGTGTCGATCGAACTTGCGGCTTCAGAGGAGTTAATTAAAAGTTTTCCAGTTTTTGCGATTTCGCAAAATGAAAACGTCATCACACAGAGGCGTGTCTTATACCATCGGAATCGGCAGCATCCCCCAAACACGTAGACGTAAGGTTTATGAATGTGCAATGTAGTGAGCCGTAGTTATGAAGCAAAATGTCCTTTGGTTGAAAATCCCATTGAAATGAATGGGGTATTTGAGCTTCGATTATAGCGCCACCTTTTGGCCGAAGTGCTACCAATTTCAAGTGTCATCAGGGCCCCGTGGGGAACAGTTGACCCAAATTTGGTGTAAATCGGACTTGTGGTTATGGAGATATAAAATGCATGTAAGTCAATGGGATTTTTTTTTACGTCTTTCATCTGCAATAACAGCACCACCTATGGGCATATTCGGGTGAAGTTTGGTGCCTGTAGTAAGGGGACCATGCCGAACAATTTGGCTTAGGTTTCATGTCAGTGTGACTTGTGGTTATAGAAGAACAATTTTCTTGGATTAAATAGCGCCCCCTAGGGGCTAGTTGCACCAAATTCTGCACAGGCCCTCGGGGCGTCCCACATTAACGCTCCAAATTTGGTCTCGATCGGCCATTCCAAAGTGAAGCTATGACATAATTTCCTGTTAGAAGCATTTTTCGCAAACGTTTGCTAGCACATAAGTTTGACATTTTTGAGTAGGATCAAAAGTTTTTGATATCCGCCTTCGTAGGCGGGAGTTCCAAGGCCAAACGCGTTGACCTTGCTTATAGCGCCCCCCTAGAGGTAGAAGTCTGCGGATTTTTGCGCCTGAGTTACGCGCAGTGAATTGGACTGTGGAGACCCTGTGAGTTTGGCGTCCCTAGCAGTTACCGTCTAGGCTGCAGTAGTGGAATTAGCGGCGGAAGAATAATAATAAAAATCCGAGCGATTACAATAGGGAACCGCGATGCCTTGCATTCGCGGGTTCCCAGCCCACTTCAGGCTTGGACCCCTAAAAAGGAAGTAAAGCTATCTGAAGCACACAAGGAACAATGTCACAAAATGAAGCTTAACACAGACTTGTTGACAAAAAAACAAAAAAAAGCAAAGAACACAGAGACAGTAAAACAAGACTAGAAACACTGATGAACTCAAAACATGGAAACCTGACGAATAACCAAAAGACTGAAGTAACACATACACACACTACAGAGAAGAGCAAACCCAAGGGCAGGAAATGAACAAAGAAAACACATACAAAACACACCCCACCAACCCATACTGTACACACTTCCTGTTGCTGTTCCTCTTTATTTGAGTCCTCACAGCAGACAAGCAGAAGCAGCAACCAAGCAAAACTTGATCAACCATGGACCCACAACTCTTATGTGGTTCTTTATTTACTTCACTTATTTATTACTCAGGGTAGATAGGTTTACAAAGCAAAAGGTCAACCTCACAAAGTTACACCTGCAGAATTGTTTGGTTCTAGTGTTTAATAAAAAAAAAAACAATAGAAAACAGAGCCTTTCATTATGAGAACTGTAATAATTAAAAATATAACATTGTTTAACATACAAGTTCAGTACATACCTAAATGCAATGCGGGTCACCCAATATCTGGCTCTAACAGACAAAAGTGAAACCAAAGGTTTATCTTGAAGTATTAAGGTTTCCACCCACATCCTGTTATTTTGCATTGTCCTATCACAGCCTTCAAATAGGTGGTGAGCTCATACAGTATTTGCATTGGGTCAGGTGGTGGAAAAGTACCAAAACTAACTTAACCTAACTAATTACTGCTTTGAAAAACAGTGCCCCAGGTATCTAAGAGTAAACTTAATATCTGTCTGAATGTAGATTTAACATACCTTTAAGAATATGTTCATTCTGAGGAAGCCTAAAAGTAAACACACACCCTTTGTACACACATTCTGTTCTCACACAGTCAGTGTTTGTTTCTCTGATGGTAACCTGTAAAATCAGTTTTCATGTTTGATGTTTGGTCTTTCCTAATTAACCACAAATCACTGTAACCTCTGAGCAGCGTAAATACCAGGACCAAGTCTTTCGTACACTTTTTGGCATTCTTATTGTGTGCCATTTTTTGAGATTTTTGAATTGTCCTATTCAATCAACAAAGCTATGGTGTCTTGCTCATTGTGATCGTCAAATTAAGTTTGAACCAATTTATAAAATCATCAAAGTCATTCATTGTTTGCACCTTTCTTGCTCACCAGATTATGTCAACCTGTGCCTTGTTATCACCACCGGTGTGTGTGTGTGTGTGTGTGTGTGTGTGTGTGTGTATATATGTTTTTGTCTGTCTGTTGTTCAGTGCATTGTTCCTTGTTTGGTGTGTATCTCCAGTGTTTCTTGTACCTCCTGTGTTTTGTGGATTATGCTGTTTGTTTGGTCATTTGGATTATTCGGTACTTTTGGACACTGTTTATTTCCCGGACTGCCTGCCTCCACACGCTGTGTAAATAAATATCACTAAAGAGACCTCCATCTTAAAATCTCTGTATCCATGTTCAGTCCTCTGGCTGAACGTAACGCATGCCCTGAAGTGAGATAACTATGTGTGATAAAGACATGGCCAAACTGCAGAAATAAATTTTCTTGGCAATGTGTAACTTTGACTAGCACCCAGCAGCTTGCTAAGACTATAAAGCTGCAGGTAGTGGCTTGCTGGGCAGTGAGGGGGAGATCCAAAGATACACTTACTATGCATAATGCACCAAATTACTTATTTATCATAAATAAAGTAATTCGCAAAACAAAAGTGGCAACTGTAGTGTCCGAACAATAATGCTGCGATGAAATCCGCTTGACACTGTTCTTGATCATAAAAGTTTATTACATCAAGGAGTTCAGCATCAATTACAAGCTCTGCAGCAGCTTGGAGAGTGACCCAGCCCGATGACCACTCTGTCTCTCTGTACATCAAACATAGCTTATATAGGATATGTGTAGGTATCTGTTAGATACCATAGAAGGGTTTGAGTCTGCAAAAGAAAGCTCCAACCCATATAAGGGCACAGTGCTATAGGATATGTGCAGGCATCTGTTAGACACCATATAAGGGTCTGAGTCTCCACATAACCACTAACCACTGCTCTCCCCTTAAAAGGTCACTAATCCTCTATCCAGCTGCTACAGTGCTATTCTAAACTGTTATGTGTCAAATGCACATATATTATACACCACACAACAATACCGCATACCGCACCATTGAGCCACAATATATCATCGCAGGGGAAATTACTTCACTGCGACAGCCCAAGCCATCAGTCACGTCTGGAAGCATTTGATTTTTTGACACTGCTCCACAGTAGGAGTGCTTTACTTACATTTGAATTATAGGCTTCGTACAACTACTGGTCAATGTAATTGTCTAATATTGGTAATTAAGCTGGGCCAGTATCAGAAAACAGATGGGGGTGTCTGTTTTTGGCTAATGCAGTGAATTAAATGGCTGACAAATCAAGGTTCTTCATCACACTGATGGAAAAGAAGTGTTGACAGTGTTGGCTTGAAAGTACCAGAGGCACTTTTTCACTCCATGTTTTTGGCAAGGGCAGATTTTGTCAATATAGAGCTAACAATTGTGAAAAAGGCTGCCATAAATTGGGACATTATAAATTGTATCTTCTTCAAATTAGCAAAAGTGAATTCCTGAAAATGTAGTTGTTGCCACAAAAATGATTTGTCTTTATCAGCTAAGACATAAAGAAATCTCTAAAATATTGACACTGCTGAAAATGACAAAACTTCCTTCCTGATTCCTTATATATATAGTGTATATATATATATATATATATATATATATATATATATATAGGAAACAGTGATTAGAAGAAAAATCTAACACAACACATCTGAACTACGACTAAGCAGATATTTCTTGATAACATTCAAAATGTGATTTATAGATAGATGCATGGAGGGGCCAACAGAGTATGTGTGTGAGCGAATAGGAGCAGACACGTGCAGAAGGGGTATGTTGGGTGCTTGAGCACCTGCCCTTTTGCCCTTTGATGCCCAAAATGTCCTTTTTTCAATGCAAAATGTCCTTTATATATTTATTTTTAAATTTGTAAACGCCCTTTTGTGAAGGCCTGCCCAATCAAACTATTAGTAAAATGAATGAATAATAATTTTGCACTAAATAAATAAATAAATAAATAAATGACCCACACTTTCACCTGATGACCTCATCTGTGACGAGCCCGCCCGTTAAGACACTGTTAGTGATTCAGCAGCACCTACAGGATACCGCGGATAAGAGGGGTTTACCACAATGTGCTTGTTGTGGGTTGTTAGATGTAGTTTACAAGAACGCAAAGAGAGCATGACAGTTGTTGTGTATATTGCTTTGTGTCGCCTGTAGAAGTAATGTTATCTGCCGGCTAACACTATGCCGACAGCTAACGTTACTTCTACACACACAGATAAACAAAGGTGCTCTGTTCACTTCGTTCTTGCTGCTTGAGGGGAAAGGTTTCACGGGCAGAGGTCTGATCTTTTTTATGTTATTTGACTAAAAACTTTTCACTTGAACTAGGATTATTACAGTAACTTAATAAAAGGCTTGTGCCTTAAAATAATTATAACAAGATTGGTAAAACAGGCTTACTGATACTTATTCCTCTGACTTACAGTCTACTTATCAGCCCTCCTTAAAATGATCATTAAATTGACCCACAACTCTTATGTGGTTCTTTATTTACGTCACTTATTTATTACTCAGGGTAGATAGGTTTACAAAGTAAAAGGTCAACCTCACAAAGTTACACCTGCAGAATTGTTTGGTTCTAGTGTTTAATAAAAAAAAACCCAAGAGAAAACAGAGCCTTTCATTATGAGAACTGTAATAATAAAAAATATAACATTGTTTAACATACAAGTTCAGTACATACCTAAATGCAAAATCCTTGGGTCACCCAATATCTGGCTCTAACAGACAAAAGTGAAACCAAAAGTTTATCTTGAAGTATTAAGGTTTCCACCCACATCCTGTTATTTTGCATCATCCTACTTATCAGCCCTCCTTAAAATGATCATTAAATTCAGAAAAGTATTGGATTAGATTTACATTTTAACAGCAACAGTAGTGTTTATCAGCAACACTACTATAAAAACTCAATAAGTGGAAATACATATAAAAATGTCAGTGTCAATGTAAAATAAATAATATTCCTGACATCAAAGTTAGGAAGAAGAAGAAATGGCCCTATTAGATTTCAGAAAAGGGTATGAAATGTTAATGTGAAAGATTAATGCTTTTATTTATTTAGATTCATGATTAGACATTTAGTCAATAAAAATCCAAATATATCTCAGATTCACAATGCAATATATAAAATCATTATCACAATATTGCATACTGTAGACACATAAGCAAACAACACACAGACAGAGACACACACACCTCTGTCTATAGATTTGTTTGTCTCACTCTTACCCCTGCCATGGTGACCCTCATCCTTTCCCCCATTAATGTTTCCTTCTCAGGTTAAAATCACACTTTTTTAAATCTAAAATCTTATTTCCTCCACCTGCAGCTCTTGGTGTGCAGCAGTCTCTGTGAGCATCTCCCTTTTTCTCATAGCAGTCAGCCTTTGCAGTGGCTGCAGCACTACAACAGGTCAGTCACTGTGAGCCAGTCCCAAACACTCAACAGTCTTTACATCTTGTCACGGTCACATAATTGTTTAATCAGCTAATATATATCCTTACATATATCCTATGTTTGTTTAAATATCTGTAGTCACAGATCACCTCCAGTAATACCAGCAACAACTACAGTAGCAGCAGCAGCAGCATCCCCAGCAACCCCTCAACAGCAACTGCTCCCTGTAAGTCAGCCCACGGTGTTTTAATGCTTTCTTTTTCAAAACACCCTCACAGTATTTAGTGATGTATAGATACAGAAGAATCTGCATACGCATATCAGCAAGGAATACGTAACAATATATTTGTGCATAAATATTTTGAGAACAACCCTATTTAAATCCTTGTTCCATGTGCATTTTCTTTTATACTTTGAGCACCTGCCCTTCCAAAGGTCTCTGCATGGCCCATGCAGGTCAATGAAATGAGAAAGAAGAAGATTAAAACAGAGGCATGTTTGACAGTCATATCTTGGCTGATTCAGCTACTTTTAGATTCTTCTTGTGGCTCAGTCCACCCTGTTGTTGACTTGTCTGTTGACCTGAATTACTTGACTTTGCACATAAATATTTGGGAAAGTTCCAAGATTTATTTTAAAATAGAATTCACAGGATTTTATTCGCTTTAATGGCAAAGGTCACACTCACAGCAGTGGTCTCTAGAGTAGCACTACAGAGTACGGTATTTAACCGGGAGTGACATTATCTTAACCCAATTTGTGGAAATTAAGAAGGATATTTACTTCCTTTAATATTGATGAACTTTTTAAAGTCAGGGGATCGTAATTAGATATGTTGGATATTATTGGCCAATATGAGCTAATTGCACATAAATTGGTTTCAGTGTTTATACCAGCTGATAAATGACAATTAGCCTATAAAGAATTGGAGAGACGGATGCTTCAATCATGTTGCGAGTGTTACTGTTACATAGTTTGTCCACCAGAGGGCACTCAGCAACTCTCCATAATCAGCTGGTACTTTTCACAACAATA